TATGTATGTATGTATGTATGTATGTATGTATGTATGTATGTATGTATGAATGTATGTGTGTATGCACATATATGTGTATGAGAGTACTTGTGGAGCCAGATGCCCTGGAACTGGAGTTACAGGTGGTTGTAAACTGTTTGATATGAGTGCTGGGAACTGAACCTGGGTCCCATGGAATCTCAACAAACAATCTTAACTTCTGAGCCATCTCTATAGTACTTCTGTTGTTTTGTTTTGTGTTAGACAGGGTCTCATTAGGCAGTCTAGGCTGCCCTTGAACTCACTTGAACCCAAGGTGTTCCTCCCAATCCAGGCTCTTAAGTGCTGGAATTATAGGACTGAGCTACCACACCTAGATTTCCTTTTGTTTGTTTCTTTACATTGGCACTGTGCATGTGTATATATATTTTACAATAATCTGGAAAACAAGAATTTTACTTATAAGATTTCTATAAAAATCAGTAAAGGACGGGCTGGAGAGATGCCTCAGAGGTTAAGAACACTGATTGCTCTTCCGAAGGTCCTGAGTTCAATTCCCAGCAACCACATGGTGGCTCACAGCCATCTATAATGAGTTCTGGTGCATAATAAGATCTTGTGTATACATAATAAATAAATAAAATCTTAAAAAAAAATCCTTTAAAAAAATCAGTAAAGGATGGGCTGGAGAGATGGCTCAGAGGTTAAGAAGACTGGTTGCTCTACCAAAGGTCCTGAGTTCAATTCCTAGCAACCACATGGTGGCTTACAACCATCTATAGTGAGATCTGGTGTCCTCTTCTGGTGTGTATGGCAGAACACTGTATAAACAATAAATAGATCTTAAAAAAAAAATTCAGTGAAGGAAAATAGATGCTTTTCTCCTTCCCTGTCTTTTAAAATCACTCATTTTGCAGTTTGTGAAATGAGCCACTGGTCAACTGTCAAGAGTCTAATGCCCACAAGCAAGGTCCGCTCTTAATAGATGGAAGAAGAGGAGGGCTGGGGCAGGGAAGCACATTCAGCGGATGCATGATTATACAATTTCTGGTGCACTTTACCTATGGGGAACATGGACAATGAACCGCTGAGAGAAACAGCATGGTGACTGCCTACACCAATGAGGTTGAGAAGCACGAGGCGGCAGACTTAGAGAAATCTTTCTTTCTACAAAATGTCGTGTTAAGTCACGGCACAGGGTAAGACAGACAGTTTAGTAGTGCTGGGAATTAGGTATAGAGCCTTGTGTTCTAGGTAAGCATTCATAGTATGCCTTTCCAAGGCAACGTCAGCTGTCAACCCGACACAGCCTAGAACATTCTGAAGGAGTCTCAATTGGGGATGGCCTCCCTGAGGCTGGCCTGCAGATCATTTTCTGGATGCTAAGTCACGCAGGAGAGCTTAGCCTGCTGTGGGTAGCACCATACTTAGGCGAGGTTCCTGACCTGTGTAAGAAAGCTCCCTGAGAAGAAGCGAGCCGAGCAAGCCCATAAACATCATTCTCCCAGGGCTTCTACCTCAAGCTCCTGCTGTCAGCGCCCACTTTGGCTCCCTTTGATGACAGACCTGCAAACCTAACACACTCTTTTCTCCCCCAAGTTGCTTTTAGTCCTGGTGTTTATCACAGCAACAAGTTAACTAGGACAGGGCCTGTCCTGCATGATATTTTATATTTGCTGGAAACTCTTAAATGTCTCTCTGTATAGGCAGGTCATGTTGTATCATTAGCTTACTGTTGAGACGGCTAAGATATAGCTGGTACAAGGGCATCCAACAATTATTTTGGCTTTGCTCTCTGGAGCTCAAGAGATACCTTATCTTACTATTATAATAATCAGATTATATAAAACAGATTTCTCTATTGTAGTCATTTAAAAATCTATCAAACATGTAAGTCTATGTCTATAAAACTCAGCTGAAGTGGGTCCTACTTGTGACCCAGTCCCTCTGTAAGCTAATACAGGACTCACTTGGCACAAGGGTCAGTTCAAGGCCACATAAACAATTAGTGAGATCCTGTATTAAAATAAACTGTTTTTTTGTTTTTTTTTTTTAAAGAGGGGATTCTGGGCTGGGCATGGTGATACATACTTTTAATCTCAGCATCCAGGAGGGCAGATGCAGGTGGATCTCTGTGAGTTCAAGGCCAAGGCTGCTCTACAAAGTGAGTGTAGGAGAGAAAACCTGCCTTGAAAAGCCAAAGCCAAAGCCAATAAAATAAAATAAAATAAATAATTAAATAAAATAATAAAATAAAATAAAATAAAAATAAAGAAGAAAGAAAGGAAAAACACAAGCAGGCAGGGATGCTGGAACACTTTGAGGTAGAGGCAAGAGATCAGAGCTCAAGTTTGTTTTGAGCTATGTGAGAAAATAACTGTTACCCCTCCCACCCTTGGCTAAAAACAATGTAAAACTTAAAGAGGTGGAGTGTGGTAGCTTATTCCTGAAATCCTGACACTGGGCACAGATGGAGGAGGATTGACAAACTTTGATTCCAGCCTGGGCTTATGTAGGTTCCAGTCTAGACTTGTTACAAACAAACAGCAAGGATGAAAGAGAAACTAGCCAGAAATGGCTCAGTGGGTAACGGCGCTTGCTGCCCATCTGACAACCTGAGTTCAACACCTGGACAGCTGGAGGGAGAGAACCAACTCTTTCAGGGTGTCCTCGCCCATTTGTGGGCTGTGGTGTGCACAGCCACACAAATACACACACGCACAAAATAAATAAATAGAAAAAGATCAGTCCTACCTACAACCTTAGCCTGCTCTGTGATGCAAGTCTGTAATCTTGTCTGTATGGGAAACAGGGCAAGAGAATGCTATGCTCAAGGCCTGCCTGTGCTACAGAAAGAGTCAAGGAGCTCCCAAACTCCTTCGTGAGACTTAGTGAGGGCTGGGATGTAAGTCTGTGATAGAGTACTTAATTAGCTGGCAGCAATGTGGACAGGCAGTTGTGCTTCAGTTTCTAGCAGGCTGACTGCTTCTTTGCAACATACGAAACAAAACAGTTTTCTTAACAAACAAGTACAGGGATTTAAATATAAAAATAGTCAAAAGCAGTTAAATCAGAAATCAGTATACCTGAGTGACCCTGAAAGGATTATCCCTCACATTCGAGGGGCTTTGTGAGGGCGACTGGTCAGAAGCACTAACAACATTCAGTCCTTTCTTCTTCTCCCTTAGGCAGGCCTGCTGGTGTCTCCTGATTCGCTCCATCTGCTCTTCCACAGTCATCCTTGGTCGAGTACTTTCAGCCAGACAGAGCTGTTCCACTGCACTTCTTGGTCTTTCCTTAAAATTAAAAAGCATGTCTGTGAATATGCAAGCATGCACAGTCCCAGTTGGTGATGCTGGCTTAGCATGTATCAGGCCCTGAGTAGAATTCCCAGCACCAAATAGACTAGTGCTTGCTTTTCAGCCCAGCACCCAAAAGCAGGAGCATCACAGTCACCTTTAGCTATTAGCCCAGAGTTCAAAAGCAAGACTGGATTGCACGAGATGTCTCAAAAACAAACAAACAAACAAACAAACAAACAAACATTTCTAAAAATGTTGTGGATAAAACATTTTATAGGTGCATTTATATATTTTTGTTTTTAAAAATCAAAAGTGGAGGTGTGAATGCTACCAAGGGAACATTAGAAGGCACCTTAAGATATTTCACCCTTAACTGGTAACCGATGTATGTGGTTAATGAATGAGAAAAGGGACTATAAATACAGACATAGAGAAGAAGGACATAGAAAGGAGACTGCTGTCTTGGTTTTTTAAAAAAGAGTTCAGACATATAATGGAGTCTAAGGTAGGAGGATTACAAGTTTGAGGCGAACCTCATTCAGCTACAGGAGAGACAAGTGGCCAAGAGGAACAGCAACAGCAACGAAAAGCAGGACTGGGGAGACTGGAGAGATGGCTCAGGAGTTAAGAGCACTGTCTGCTCTTCCAAAGGTCCTGAGTTCAATTCCCAGCAACCACACGGTGGCTCACGACCATCTATAATGAGATCTAGTGCCCTCTTCTGGTGTGTAGGCACACATGCAGGAAGAGTACTGTATAAATTATGAATAATAAATAAATCTTAAAAATAATGTAAAAAAAAAAAGGCAGGACTGGGAACATAGCCTCTGGCAGAGGCTGGCCTCCTGGGCTCTGGCCTCAGCATCACAAAAATCACTTTACTCAACCATAGGGTGTGGTGACTGAGAGCTGAAACAGCCAAAGCAACTGTCTTAGAGAAGCCTGTGCTCATGCTATCTCTGTCTTTCCTTCCGAATGCCTCTCTTTCTCTTAACCCACAGGCTCCAAATCTACATTGAATTATTTTACTACACCTCTACAAAGCTGGGTGTGGTGGCACACCCCTTTAATTTTAGCACTTGGGAGGCAGAGGCAGGCAGATTTTTGTGAGTTATAAGGCCAGCCTCATCTACAGATAAGAGTTCCAGGACAACTAGGCTACATAGACACCCTGTCTTGAAAAAAAAACTAAACTAAACTATTAAACTCCAACACTGCTTTAAAAAGACGGCTGGGGCTGGAGGCCTGGCTTAGTGTCAAGTGTGAGGCCCTGAGTCTGGACTCCCAGCACCATGAGAAAACCAGGGTCAGTAGTTCCTGCTCATCCCAGTGCTTGGGAAGGGAAGGTGGATGGGAGACAGGCAGATTTCTGAGGCACAATGAGACACATGATCAAGGAAGACAACCAGTGTGGCCTTCTGAGCTTCACCTGCATGTGCAAGTGCACACACGCGCGCACGTGGACACACGGACACACACACACACACACACACACACACACA